GGGGGAAGAGAGGGAATGAGTATCTCAACAGCTTTTCGGCTTCTATCTAGTCACAGGAGAGGGAGCACAGCTCAACTCTGGATGGGGAAGATGAGGAGCCACTTCCCACCACCACCACGGTGGGACGCAATCCTGGGACTCGTGAGGAAAGCGTGACGTGAGGAGAAAGACCGGTGTGCCTCGAAGGCTTCGTGAGAGCAGAACTACCTGGGCGCCACCGGGGCTGCAGCGAGCTCAGCCGGCGCAGAGACGAGGCCGGACCGCAGAGAACCATGGCCGCCGGCTCTAGCGGCGGGGATCTCCTCAGCACCCAGCCGCGACGGCCTTCTGAGCAAGCCCCACCCACCCGCCTACGTGATTGGCAGGGAGCCGTGTCACTCACACCGGACCCCGTCTCCCGCCGCAAGTGCCCAACTGCCTCAGAAGCACCGAGTACTTAGAAACCGCGCTTCTAGGCCACCTAGCGATTTGTTGCCAGGACTGCCAATCATAAGCGCTCTTAGGTGATTGGCCGGATCCGGACGGGGGCGGGCCTTTTGGGCCGGCGGTGTTTAGGGTGCGCGAGGTGTCGGTTGTGGAGAAGCGGGACAGAGGTGTCGCTCCCCTTGATGGGGCTGCTCCGGTGTGGGGGCTCGCACCGCCATGGGGTGCCGCAGGAAAAAAAAAAGCCCAGCGGTTCTGAGCTACGAGTTCGTCATTCAGAACCACGCGGATATCGCAATCTTCTTGGTGATATGCCTCCTGCTGGGGTTCACGTTTGAGGTACCGGGGCGAGGGGGCCGGTGGTTGCCGAGTGGAGCAGCACCCGGTCCTGCTGTGGGGCAGCCGCGGCGCCCGCGGCTTCCCGCTCCGGAGCTTCCCCAGTACATCCCTTGGCTTCAGCCTCGCTGCCGGGCGGCTCTGCCCCAGCCCCTCCGGCTCCCTGCGGGGTTGCGTCCCTGTCTCCTCTACCCCGAGGCCGAACTCCGTGACGCCCTGCCCAGGCACCCCCTCTCCGTGTCTGGGCTGTCGTTCCGAGCGCAAGTGTCACTTGTCTCTGTGCTGTCCCGGCTCACGTACTCCCCAGTGCCACCTCTACTGAGCTCCCCTCTCACTGTGCCACCCCCTCTTTTACCTGCTGCTGCCAGGTTGCTGCTCTTCTCTCCCCTCCTCCCGTTTTCCTTCACCTCTGCGTGTATTTCATTCCTAGCACCCTCCCGTAAGTTCCCTTTTCCACAGTTTCAGTCTCTGGAGTTATAAAGCTCCTCAAGCCCCCTTGCTTAAAGCAGAGTTGGCTTATGTCTCTTTATTGTGTCTATTTACTTTTTTCCCCCCTCTGTTCAAAAGTCCATGTAGTAAAGTACTTAGAAAATCTGTTATAAAGCGGGTTTCAAAGAGTCTGTTATTTCTGGCATGCTTGACCAGATGGTAGTTAAAAACTACTCACCCTTTTGCACCATGCTCTGCCTATTGCTGCCGTTGGCTCAGCTCCCTACTGGTGGATAAACTGAAGAAATGTGGGATTAGACAGTCTCAGCCCAACTTCTGAGTTCCTCTTTGTATTTGAAAGTTATCATAAAGTTTATTTCCATGTGCAAGCTGCTTATTAGTTTCTGGTGTAATGGATTAGGCATCTCTCTTGGGCATCTTTTTCCCGCTTTTAGGACAAAAGCCTTGTGTGTGTGTTACTACATGAGTATTTTGTGTTGGTCTTGAGTATAGGATAAAGCTTGATAAACAGAGTTTAAGTTCTGGATAGACAAATACTTTACTGAAATATTATTGTTATTACAACTTAAATACTTTACTGAAATATTTCAATACTTCCCATCAGTTGGGTAAGATTAAAAATCACATTTTAATTTAAAAGTACTGTGAAATTCCAAGATAAAATATATGTGGATGTTCTTTTTTTTTTCTATGTATCTTGACTCACTTCTGAAAACATTAAAGATACTGGACAGAAATAAAGTAGAGAACGTAGTTGTGATGGTCAGTGCTTTTCACAGCATTTTATGCTTACTGTGGTTTCAGATGCATCTGTTGATGACAGATTTCTGCTGTCCATTTTCCAATGTGTAAATGAAACTTTTTGCAGTTGACTACCTGTTGAATTATTTGCTTGACTTACATAATACTATAGTAAATATAGGGTTTTCTTTTCTAGGTGGCATTCAATTGCCCATATCCGTGAGATCATCCAAAAAACCACCAAGTATGTTGAAATTACAAATGAGCATTAGCGTGTCATAAATTCAATTATAAGAATTTCTTTAAGGGGAGTTCTTACACGTAAGGTTGTATATTCACCTTAATTGTACTTTCCCAAATCTTAGATTTGCTGATTATTATGAGGTCTATAGAAGTGTGTAGGGAGATTCACTCTGATTCTAACATACTGAAAAGTGGCAGTAAAATTCTGGTGTTAACTGTTATTTTCTTTCTTCTTCATTCTCCAAGAATTTTATAGTATTTTATGCGCCCAATCCTGTTCTTATTCTTGACAACAGAGTGGGCCTTGTCTTCTAAAGAAACCTTTCTTTTAGTACTTATGGTTCTTTTTAAGCTTCTAGTATCATCTCAGAGAGTGTCATATGTTTTCTTTCCTCCCAGAACAATTTACATCATCTTTGTGTCTGTGGTTGTCTTATTTTACCACAGAATATCACTTCATGGGGCTCCTGTGCTCCCAGCAGACTGAAACACTTGTAGTATTACGTTGCGTGCTTCATGATCAAACAGAAAAGCTAACTTGCTGGGATCTAGTAAAGATTCTTAAAACCCTCTTCTCCCAAAGAGCATAAAATAAAGCTTATTCTCAGGAAAGCCCCCTAATAAAGGAGTCTGCTTGAAGTTACAAGGTGCTGCCTGAATGCCCTTCTACAAGGGAGATTGTTGCTGTGGGTCCTGAGTGATGGCTTACTGAAAGCTAGTGTGTTTTAGTTGGGTGCTGAATGACATCAATACCTATGTAACTATCTATAGTTTTCCTGTCTTTCCAGGAGCAGTTGGCAATGAATTTTTCACACTTCCATTCCATGAACTTTTTAAGTTGGTGTTGGTGCTCTGGCTGCTTATTCTGCCCATCAAGCACGCAGAAGGACTTCTGTAGCTGAGCAGTGCAATGTGTTAGGAAATTCATCTGTGTTAAGATTAATAGGGTTTTCTCCTCACTCCTGGTTTGCTGTACCAGTTTTAACTTGTACCATGTCAAATTCACCACATCAGTACCTTGGATGGCATGAGCATGGGACAGAGACAATAAACAGCTAGCAGTATAGACAAAGGCAGGAATGCTCCTTTTGATGGTAGTGCTGGCTTACAAAAGGTTAAATTGCTCATAGAACTGCAGTGTCTGAAAGTCAATTTTGTATGCCAGAAAAATTGGTACTTTCCTTTTCCTTAATTAATCTTCCTCTTAAAAGTACTCTTCAGTATTATGACTCCTCTGCCGCTTAATTTCACAGGTGTGCTCCCAGTGTACTGAAGTGATTTGCCTTCTCATCCCTTTTTTTTTTTCTGCTACAGAGGATCTTATTTTGCATTGTTGTGCCTCTTGCTTATTTGTAGATGGATAAATTAATGCTTGTTTTATATACTCCTGAATGTTCTTAGTTGCACTTTCAGAAATGAGATGGTGTAACATCTGAGGACAATAGCTTTCTTTTTTTGATTTATATTTCTTTGTTTTAAGTCATATCTAGGAAGATCTGTTTAGGAGAAAGTGTAAAAGGTACAAGAATGTATTTTTTTTACATCAGGTTTCAGACTATGCCTGTTGTAATTCTGATTTATGAACAAGATAACTGACTGCTTGCAAACATAATAAATGTATTTGCTATTGGCAGTGTAGGACATAACTCCATATTGCATATTTTTTGCAGCAAAGAAATCAGGCTTGTAGTTTTTTATTTTTTTATTTTTCCCCTTCCACTTATATTCCCATGTTACAGTTTATCACTCTTTCAGTTACATCAGCACAACTGTTTGTTTTTTAATTGTGCAGACCAGATAATGAAATGTTTTCAATTTAACTAAGCAGATGTATTTACCTCTCGTCCCTGGGTTGTAGGGTCATGCAGTAATCTACATTATAAATAGTTCCATTGCTACAGCTAAGGGCTAAATATACTGCAGCATGGCAATGGGAAGACATTTTGAAGAGGTAGGGATGGCTGAGTGTTGGGGAGTTTTGTTGGTTTGGTTTATTTTTTATGTTTTTATTTAACAAACTAGTTTTGCCACTGGAGAGAAAGTAACATAAAAGTACACCATTGGTTACTTAGTACTGTAATTTTGTAGACAATGCTTGATTTATCATACAAGAAATTGCTGAATCTTCTAGTATGATGTTTTGAATACTCTATTTATATGGACACTTAGCCACATTATCACTTTTTCTAATATCTTACAAAGTTAGGTAAAACTCCATTTGATTTAATTTGGCGAGTATTTCAACTTTGGAAATAAATGAAAGCCATTTACACTTCTAAACACTTCAAAATGTTATTTAGAACAGTGATTAATTTGACACTTAGCTAAAAGGAGATAATTCATGTCCTGGCCCTATGCAGTAAATGTTAAAGAATTTGAAACAAGGTGAGCCTCCACATTTGTGGGAGATGAATAATACTTTCGGGACCTCTTTGATTTAAATCATGTGTGAGAGAACATTTGTTGATGGTATAATCTTCTAGTTTTGGGTGTTTATAGTCTAGTTTATTTGAAAAATTTGGTACTTTTTCCTCATTTCTTTTTGAATTTCAGGTCTCAGCCAAGTATGCCATCGTCTTTATTGCTGTGCAGTACAGTGTCACTTGTACCACTGGTGAGATTAAATCAAACCTTTCTTTTTTTCTTTCTTCTTGTAATGCAAGAGCTCAACTATTAAAAATTAATCCCTTTTTTTCCCCATGACTTCAACTCACTTTTATAATACAATAGAAGTCTTATATTTAGCTGTCTGCTTTTGGATTTACTAATACTAAATTCACTGAAACAATCTGGTATCTCCTCTGTTGCTTGTGAATAATACTGGTTATGTTTCCCATAGTTAATACTGGTACTAACTTGCATTTTAATGTGTGAGTTTCTTTTTTTCCTACATATAGCTATGCTTCTTAAGATGGAATCTCATTTGGTCTCTTCCAAAGTGTAGAGGATAAGGTGTTAGTGTGTTTGAATTTGGGTTTTTCCTTCTTTCTTCTTCTCTCTCTTTTTTTTTTTAATTTTTTGATTGCCTAGATGAAAGATATGGATTGAAGCTACAGCTCAGTGTGTACTGCTTTCAATAGTGCATTCTAGTCTTATAGCTATATCATTGTATTGAATGAAAAGAAGATAAAAAATAATTTTCAAAAAGCTAAAACTTATAACTAGTATCCTGTATCAATTTGACATAGCTTTCAAGAACAACGGTCACTGCTCTCCTTTCTCAGTTGCACAGAGCACTTCTTCATAAGAATGTAAAAATACACTTTTTTTTTTTTTTCATAGATGGCAACAGTAAGCAATTTCTTTTTTATGAATCTGGTCCAAAAGACATTGCCACAATCTTCTTCTACATGCTCATTGCTATTAATCTGCATGCTGTAATCCAGAAGTACATATTAGATGTAAGTTTATTACTGGGGTATAATTTATTTTTATAAATGTATTCTTTTTAGCCATCAGTTGCTGACAGTTGTTATTCAAGCTAAGTGTAAACTATGGTACAAGGAGTGATGTAGCATTTAGAAGCCCTGTTATGATCGATCCTTTTGTTCTTTGACAAAGATGCAAATAGACCTTGGTTTGGTGGTGGTAGTGTTAGCTTAACAGTTGGACTTGGTGATCTTAAGGGTCTTTTCCAACCTAAATTATTCTATGATATTTTTATAATGGTGCTGCCTCAATTTAGTAATGGTATAAACCTCTGAGTCTTTCTTTCAATCAATATAACTTATATTCTGTAAAACAGACATCAAATGTTCGTGCCCTACTGAAAATATCTGTGAATGAGATTTGCTGCATTAGATTCGTAAGATATATTCAGAAGATTAACAAGGGAGCTCGGACTTCATTCTGTGCTCTTTTTGCACCAACTCAGTTGCAAAGTAAAATGAATTTGTTAAAGCCATTATTTAATAGTGTAAGACTGTCTTCTCAAGTAGGTCATCTGAGCCACAGAAGCTCAAATGGTTTTTAAATGTGCAAAGAAATTTGAAAAGTTGAGTAATATGACTCTGATTAGGGAGGAGGGGAGGGGAGGTGGATTTTGTATGAATACATTATCTGAATATTTTCCACATGAACTTTACCATAGTGGTGAGTCTTATTGAAGCTAATTGTCATACAAAGTGCTGATCAAGGTCTTAAATAGTGGGAGCTATGTATTTTGATTGAGGAACAGGAGATCTGGGAAGAAAAAAAAATTGAAAAAAAATATTCAAGAGTGAACACTAACTCCCAAATAGCTTTCTTGTCTTAGAAATTACATTTATTGATCTTATTTTTGTTTCTAGAAAATTAATAGATATCTGCATTTGTCAAAAACAGAGCATAGCAAACTCAATGAATCGGGACAGCTAGCAATTTTCTACTTGTTTTCATGTATATGGGGAGCAACTATTTTGATTGCGGTAAGTCAGTCACTCTATTTGCTGTTTTTATTAAAAAATAGACTTAAATTATTAAGAATCATTTAAGAATTAAATCAATGGCCTTTTTCTTTAGGAAGAATTCACGATGAACCCAATCTCACTCTGGAAATATTATCCCCATTCTTATATGCTGTAAGTGTTTTATTTTTAATTGGAAAAAATCTGGTATTTCTAATCACTCAAATTTTAGGGAACCACTAATAAGGTGGTGACATTGCTACCTTATGGCAACTAGATGAAAATACTTTCTTCTGCTTGAAATCTGCCAGCTGTTTTATGGAAAGGTAGTTTTTGATTAATTGAACATCTATCCAAGAGATGCATTTTTCTTACCTTTCTTTAACTTCAGCATGGTAGCTGAGTTAAAGTGAGAGTTTGCAAGATAGACTATATAGTAGAATGGCTGATCTGTTTGATGCTAAAACATGTTTGTTGGAGACTGAATTTTCAAATTAGAGGGGATTTATATCTGAATTAAAAACAAAACAAACAAAGAAAAATAAATCCAAAACAAGCTGACTTATAAAATCTTATTGTTTGTCGGGGTCCCTTTTCCTGTTTTTTCTCCAGTGAGTGTGACAGAAGGAAGCAGCATAATACACAACTTTCAGGAAGGGAGCTCCACTGCTCACAGGATAAACTATTTCTGTGTGTTTGGTTTTTTGGTATTTTCTCTTTCCTACTGTCTCAAAAGGTGATTCAGAACTTGCAACTTGCTATCAAGAAGATTATGGATGCTAATTCAAAAAACTCTCACCACAGAGTTGTCTTGTATTTGCAGTTCCTGTGATTTGGGAATCATAAACTATAATGAGTCAGAATGAATCCATTTACAATAATTAAATAAAATCTTGTATCTCATGTTGAAAACTCGAAAACTCATCATCTTGTTTTTTCTTAACCTGAATTATTGTTTAGTTTTCAGGTAAAATTCTTCTATATTTGCCAGATAGCCTATTGGCTTCATGCACTGCCGGAGCTATACTTTCAAAAGGTCCGAAAGGTATGGAGAGAAGTTGTCAGTACAGTTAATTAAATATCTGTTCTTTCCAATTTTTCATACATATCTACATATTCATATGTGTATATTCAGTTATTTATATACTACTTATATATTTTAATTGCTTGCACTTCCTATCTAATTTAGTCTAGGTGGTCTGTAGTTTTTGATTCAGATAGTCTTTCTGGAAATTTGTGCAGTTGAGTGAAAAATAATCAAACCTAATGAATGCTATGATTTTTCTTTGCATGATATGGTTAATCTGTAACAGCATTTATTGTAATTTTTCTGATTTTAGGAAGATATTCTGAGGCAGCTATGTTATATTTGCCTTTACGTTATTCATATCTCTGGTGCCTATATATTAAAGTAAGTATTTGCATGTCTGTTTTAAATAGATTAATCTATTTTCTTCATGATTTCATTAACATTTCTAATTTTTCTGTTTTATAGTTTCCAGCATTTGGGGCTAATTCTGATGATACCTCACTATCTAGTGGAATTCAGTTTTCATGCCTCACATCTTTTCTACTTGAGTGATAAAAACAAGCAAAAAGGGTAAGTCTTGCATGTATTAATTACAATTCAAAACTTCGCTGACGTATCACGCATAACTGAATTTGCACATATGTAAAGTACTCCAGTAGTAAACATCACTTCTTTAATGTCCACTATTACCTGCTTTGAAGTCACAAGCAAATCATTGTCATTACATAGAGTCAAGGAAGCAAACACATCACTTCACGATCATCATCGTAAGGTTTTGCTGAAGCTTTTGCTAAAGTCCCATCTCAGATACGTGTGTGTTGGCTTCTTATTCTGTAAGTTACCTGTTTTCTTAAATGTTCATAAATGTTTGTACATAGGGACACTTGTCTTTAAAACCAGATAGTTGAAGAAGTACTAAAAGCAGCATTCCCTGTGAGTTCTTGCAGGTCTTTCTCCTTTTGGGTAAGGTGAGAAAGGGAAGTAACTTTACAGCAGAGAAGGTAATGTCTCAAAATGTGTAGTTGATAAGATGTCTTCAATTATACATCCCTTGAGTAAGATTCTCAACTATTCTGAAAATTAATATGTAAAAAGTAATGCATTTGAGAATGGAAGAAGATATTTAACTGTGAGGCATTCTGGGAAGGATTGGATATGTTTCACCGTTTGAATGTGAAGGTTCCAGTTTGAATAAAGCACTCTTGTCCCATATATGTTTTCTTGTCTCTTATCCTTTCTTCCTCTTCTAAGTGACTGCCCAATCTCTGGAAGAGATTGTCACGAACGCCTTGCTTTCTTTCACACAATCCCTTACGTATAGGCAGCCTCCCTTGAGGCAGTGTAATGCTGCTGCTCTTCTTTTCACAAGATTCATTTCTGTTGCTCCTCAAAGCTAAAATTTTAAATAAATTTTAAATAAGTGTGCTGTATGTTCTTTGCAAAAAATCAGTGTTTACCAATGCAAATAGAGAAACTGTGAGGAAGTCAGCTTGTATGTCATATTTAATTTAGAGGTTTTTGGAGCTATGAGCTCATCATCATTACACACCATCCACGGAGGCTCAATAGACTGATCAGGAGAACATAATTTCCAGTCTTATGAAGGCTCTAATGGTCACACAAGCAACTATGTTTTTCTTTGGCTGGAAATCAGTTATCCCATGTGCAATATTACCTCAGTTTAAATAACTAGAAATGGAAATTTGTTTTCATAGCTAATGAATTGCAGAAGTATTTGGGGCATTTTATTTCTATTGTAACATGTAGCAGTTATAATGTAAACTGTGGGAAAAACACAATGTTAAATACTAGGTATTTTTTGTAGCTCAGAATTTATTGTTTCTTCTTATAGTTTTATATCCAGACACTGCAGCTTTTCTCAAAAATCTTTTTTGGCAGAGGGTGTGAAGAGAGTTGCTTTTTAAGCAGTCTTGCTTATACTGTGAGAGATTTGAAGTACGTTTTCAAGTTTGAAATCAGTTGAATGAGCTGTTGGGTTTTTTTTTTCCAATGGGAATTTTGGAAAGATACTTTTTTCAGATTGTTAGTGTCTTATTTTAATTCATTCATCAGTTACACAATATGAAATCTTTTTCCCGTAGAAATCTTTATGTAATGGCAATAATAATACCAATTTTCTAAATTAATTACTATCAGCTGAATGCAACTGTTCTTCAGGGTTTTTTTGCACATCCTATAGTAAAAAATTCTAGATGCTGAAAATCTGTGGGATGGCATTTTCTCTGTTGCCTATGAAGTGAAATACTTTCTCTTTTTGTCCTATAAACATCTGGCTGTTAAACATATAAAGAAAATAAACATATATTGTATTGATTTTCCAACTGTTTAGTGAATGTATATTGTACCTTTACCATCAGCTTTCTGGCTTTATAGCATCACCATTACCTATAAATGGCTTACAGCATGAATGACAACTTGAGATGCATCTTTGTAATTCATTATGCTTTCTAGTCAAAATATTGTGAAATGAGGCAGATCAAATGTTTGTGGATGACCACGTTTTTCTGTAATTATGGGTCTCCTCTGTGGACATTTCCCTATCATTGCTGAGAGAATTTTAATGCAAAGTTCTTTGTATGTTTGACTTTATTGAAAAGAAATGGACTAAAAGGAGAAAGCACATTAATTTCATTATTTTTTTTCAGATTTACCGTCTGGGCTTTACTTTTCATATTGGTGCGTCTTTTTACCCTAACTTTATCTGTACTCGCGTTTGGATTTGGTCTGGCAAGAGTAGAGAACCCAGGTTTTCCAATAGCAGAAGGAAACTGCAGTGTACTCCCTGTGAGGTATAACAAGGCTAGTAGACATTCATGTATAATGTGGCATTTTAAAATATCTTTTAATAAAGTAATCCAGATGATAATATGTTTCTAAGAATTTCCCTGGGTGATGTTTTCCTCTTGAGTTTTTAAGGGAAGGGAAGTTTTGTTCTTTTTTTCTATCTTCTTTTCACCAAAGTAGTAGAATAGAATTTATGGGAACAGAAAAAAAAAAATAAACCAAAAATAAACTCTTTTTTAAATTCTAATTAATTGTTGATAATTACCCAAAAAGCCTGGGATAATAATCTCTTTAAACTTTTTTTTTCCATATGTCTATGCCAGACATAGTATCATTTGGTGATAATTTTACCCAGAATTTTTTAACTAATTATTTGTTTGGTGCCTTCCTAAAATATTTTTTGTCTATCTTGTATTCTTGATGTTGATTTTATTTTTTTTTTCCTCTTTCAGCATAAGCTCATAATTTTAAATGTTTATCCTTATAACTTAATGCCTTTAATCAAGTATGTGGGAGGGATTTTGAATCTACATGATTTCTCATTCATAGGCAGCTTGGTAGGGAAGGGGCCTTAGTGATATAATTTCCTATCAGCCATTGAAATCTATGGTCATAATTCCTTGATAAGCATGATTCCCCCTAGCAGTGAGCTTACATACAATTTTTATTCACTTTTTGTGTGACACACCTTGTCTTGGGTAAAGCCTTCTGGTTTCCCATGATATGAAAATTTTAATTGTTTTGATAGTAGACTTTGGAGGAAAAAATAAAATAGGTACAGATTTGCAATCTATTAATGGTGAGCTGAAACTTGTATCTAACTGTCTCCAAAATCTCAAATCTTATTAGGATTGGCTGCCTGAGTGTTGTTTGTCTAACACAAGTCTGGATGATGTGGAAATTTATAAATTTTCAGCTGAAGAAATGGAGAGAGCATGTTAAGAAACAGATCCCCCCCCAAAAAATAACTCCCAGAAAGAACAAACGAACAAAAAAGAAACCATACAGAGGTCAGTGGCATATTTTTTTAAGTTGTTTCTAGGTCAAATGTTTTTATACCAGATGCCTCATCTTATATCTTTCCTTCCTGTAATAGAGCAAAAACATCTGTCTTCTGACATGCAGAGAATATAGATAATATTGTAGCTTCTTCAAACATGAGGGCATGTTCTTCTCTAGTTCCATATTGCTAAGAGGACAGCACACAGAGTACTAACTGTATGAAGTGTTAGCCCTGACTAATCTTCAGGACTATGCACTCAACTCTATGTTAATCTGAACTCAAGGAATATTTCATGAAACTGAGTTTAATAATTCCAGGGTTTTCTTTCTGTTTTAAATCAGTCTTTTACAATACCACTAAATATTTTTTTCGATTTAACAACAGGAAAAAAAAAAGCACCATCTGAAATCACTACTGCATTTCATAAATTCTGCTTTTATTATGTTTCAATGAAATTAAGTTTGTTTGTTCTATATAAAGACACCGTGTAAAGAACATGAAACTCAGTAAAAAAGAACTCCAGAGGAACATCATAGTAGCTGGCAAAGGACAACTAATGGAGAAAGGCTTTTAATTAAATGACATTGTATAATTTCCAAATTCCAGTGTTATATCAATTAAATGAGTTAAATGGGAGTTATGAGATTCAGTAGAGTGAAATTTCATATGCCCGTTACCATATATGTAAAACACTGGATAGAGTTATGTATGAAAGATTCAGAATCACTTCTGAGATTTGGGTAGAGGTTTGAAAAGTGCGTTTTCTTGGGAATTTTACCACAGGCTGGCTCTCTTTCTGAAGTTGATCTTTATGTATTAGTTTCTACCAAGAGGGTTTGAAGCTCTTCACATTCAGAGATCACTAGCTGAGTCAGCATTAGCTGAAACCAATTGGAAGATTCTAGGCTGTAATGGTGCTCATAACATTTTTTTCTTTATCATTTCAGAGCAGCCTTTCTGCTCTGAATGTAGCTGCAGGTGCTTTTCTTTCTATTTTCTTGCATATCCTTCTTTTCTTTACAGATTAATAACTTCATTGCTTTGCTGTGTTGTTTTATGAAATTAGTGCACTTCTTAAGTTCCCAATATGATTACAGTTTGGAATAGCAGAAGTCACACTGTAGTTTGAGTTCACGTTTGCTTCTATTGAGCAAAATGAAGAATACCACAGATATTACAGCTCTCTGACTACAACATGAAAAGATATTGTATGTTGTTTATCTGTTTATCTTATTTCTAATTGCTGAAGTATTCACACTTGTAGAAATATTCTGAAGGAGAGCTCGCGTTCCACTGAAGCCAGTAGTTTAGTTGCAGGCCATAAGTCGTTACTTTAGGCTCCTTGAAGGTAAATAGACTTCTCTTGTTCCCCAGCTCTTAAGTTGAGAATTCAAACTTATTTGCAGTTAATGTGTCTGTACAGTGGTTAGGCACAACTGACATAGCATACCAGCAGTATAGGAAAAGAATATATATTTGAGGTTGTTAGGTGTGGAGAATTATGTAGCCAAAATAATTAAGTTCTGATTTAATTGGCAAAAGAAGGACTAGAAGTTAAGTGTACCATAAATCCTTCATAAACTATTGTTTGCTATTTCTCATAAGAACAGACAATTTTAATGTAGTAGCATGTTTAAAACGAACACAAAAGGATATAAAATATACAAAAATTGTTGAAGTAAATTCTGCAAAAGTATGATCTGAGATTTAATTCCTGGGGTTCAGCCTGGCAGTGGCTAATAAAACAATGGTCTAAATGCAAGTTAGACCTCAGAAGTCAGTAAGGTTCCCCTAGAACCTGAAAGGAAATATGTTGGTAGGACTATTCTGTATTTGCCCTGTTTTTAATACTAAGCATCTGTGACTCCTAGAGATAGGAGACTAGTCTTAGAAGCAACTTTTGTCTGATTCCTGTTCATATCAACTTTGTACAGGCAAAGTTCCTAAAACATTTTACGTAACTAACTCCAAGTTAATTTCAACTGAAGCAAATACTTAAGCTTTTTTGATACTTTAAAAAAATTTTTTTCCTGGTCTAGTTTCTATATTTTTTCATGTGAAGCAAAATTGTGTTTGTTTACTGTGCTTTAATTTAAAATTACAGCCAACTCTGTCAATGGAGCAGCAAAACTAAAAGGTGGACAATCACCAAGAATAAGAAAATCAAAACCAGTATGAGAATACAAGCTAGTGTCAGAAGACAACATTTGACAGAAGACTGTGTCTTAATAAATTGACACTGCAGAGCTATTATTTGTATGTCTTATTATTTCAATGGACACTATCAGGTTATATGTTAGCAATATTTTTGTTAATAACCCTACATTTCACTTAGCTTTAACAGAAGAATTGAACTTCCGGTTCTGTGATCAGAACTTATTACAGTTCTGTAATATATGCATTACAGATGCTTCAGAAAGCTGTATAAATCTAAGTTATCTGTATATTCATTTGTTTTTACAAAATTAAAATTCCACACCAAGAACATCTAACCATGTTTGTCTTTTCCCCGCCCCTTCCCTCACCAAGAATGTTTTGTGTTTATTCATCTTACGTGGAGCAAGAGGTATGTCTGAACTAGCCTGGTAAAAAAGCAAAAATGTTCTATACCTGATTTCTCTCCAAAAATTACAGATTTAAAGAGGGCAAATTCTGACAAAATGTCACTAATCTTCTTTCAGTATAAAGGTGAGACTAACGTTTAGTAAAGATGCAAATTGTGTGCCTTGGGAAAATGCTAGACTGCCAGCTGGATTTTGCGAGTGGGTATGTAAAAGTTGTTTTATCTCCTGAATATTTTTTTAAAGATAAGATGAAGGGCGTCTTTTAGACAGTGCAGAAGAGCTTATGTTACAAACCTGTGTATCAGTTTTTGAACTGTATGATAGGAATGGGCACATTATCTTGCTTTTAAAAGCACAGTAACAAAAAATCCTTCTTTAGCTGATACAGTTTACATTTTTTTCTTACTGAAGTTTTGAGTTGGCTGGTGAAGTGGAACAGAGCAGAGGTTGTATGGCGGCGAAGCGATATGGGCAATAGTGTTGCTCTTCCCAGCTCCTGGTCAAGTCCACTAAAAACTGAAATAATTCAGAGTAGGTTCTAAAAATGTAGGATGTTGACTGGGAGCTGGAGTTTTAAGCAAGTTCTGAGAAATGCTGTCTTGTTGGATATTGTGTTGTTCTGAGTAAATAATTACTTTCATTATTTTGTTGGTAAATGAATTGGGATGGAGAAGGCAATGTTTCATCTGTTTGTTTCTTAACATTAAAATGGGCTGCTGCTTTTACCACAAGGTATTTCTAGTAGTTAAAGAAATGGGTAAAAAAACCCCCCACTGATACTGTAAACTATGAAATTTTAGATACTTAGCCTTAAGCCTCAAGAGGTGGAACTGAGCTTATCAATTTACTGACCATGAACAAGAGATAAATGTTTATAAACTACTATGATTGTAACATTTCTTTGTTACAATTACGCCCTAAAATTTTTATATGGAGTTACCCTTTCAGTGAAACCAGCAATGTACTCCAGGTAACATTGACTGACTGTGTGACTGACTGCAAAAAATATACTGCTTGTTTTTAATTCCCCTTAAAATGTATTTTTATTTCAGTTAATTGACTTGTCTTTTTTCTGGTTAAATATCTACTGACTAGTGTTGAAGTCTGTTGTTTTTTAAAAATGCATTATAAAAGATGAATTTGCATCAGTATAATTTAATTGTATAAACTAAAATTGTGGTTTAGTGAAAGGCTACTAAGATATCATAAATTATTTTGTTGAAAAGCTACAGTTTGTTTTGCATGTTTTGTTTTACAGTATGTTTTACATAAGAATTTGATGATTATTTAATGTATAATGAATAATCCGTAGCACGAGCCAGGTTTTCAGCGTATGTAAGGTTCTGATTATTCACTTGATAAGATATTGCTAAAGAAAACTTTCTCCATTTAAAAAAAAAAAAGTACTCTAATGATGTATTTCTTGTCCATCTCATTTTAGTCTGTAATCTTCTTTAATTTCCTTTGTTGCCATTAAGTAATCTGTTTTATCATTATGCTAAACCACTTACTCTTCATAGTCTCATCAGTTAGACAGATTAGCCACACAAACTGGATTGCTAATCTAGGAAGAAGATATGTATATACTTAGGATTTGTTTAAAAAAACCCAAACAAACCAAAACACACTCCAGTTGTTCAACATTTTTTACCCATTTCCTGTCAGTGTTGGTTTTCTCTGCTGCTCATTCAGTGCCAGAACAACTTTTCTTTTCAGTCCCTGTGATGTCTATATGGTGATTTCAGGGTCTTTTGTACACCAGCTATTCTTGCCAACCCCAGTCAAGCCGTCTGCAACCATGTGTTGCAAACTATGAGTTAGTGTACAGAAAAAAGGAGGGGGAAGGGGAGATTTTAGGTTTGGGGAAGCAGAGAGGGTTGTTTTCTTTTGTGTTGTCTGTTCTTAATTCGGGAAGGGAGGAGGGGATGGAAAACTACTTCTGTCCCCCCGAAAACATCATAGCCTAGAAATGATGGTGGTTTGTTTTTTTTATCTGGGAATATTGTTACTATTTCCTTGCAAAACATTTCAAAAATTACATTTTTTAAAAAGATCCTATCAATAGATGGAATGGAAGGAAATTTAAGCTCATGCAAAACTTCTTATAAAGACTGCTTTTTAATCATAGTGGGGGTTTTTCTGTGTCTGAGCAGAGAACAATTAAATGGACTGAAGAAATGGGATGTTTCTCTTGCGCTAATTGTCCAAACATAAATTGGTCTTGGAAATTTTAGGACTCAAATCAGTTATGTAGAGAGATGCCCATGTAGAAGAGAAAATGTTTTTTGGACATGAGTAATAGCTGTTGGAAAACCATGACTGACTGAGTTATTGACAAAATAAAAATAAATGGCAGTGCACAAAAAGTGAGCTTTGGGTCACGTTTCCCTAACTCTGCGCTTCCATTGGCCTGTTTTTTTGGCTAAGAAAATGTTGGGATCAGACTTTATTTAATTAATACATTACAAAAGTTCAGCTTAAAGTTAAGTGTGTCTCTTGTGTACATCTTTGGGCAATTTTTTAATACATATAGGCTTCTAAAGACTGCTTTAAAAGGAATATGCACCAGCAGGTGGAGCAAATAGATAAAAATGTTAAATGTTACAGTTCTACAGCTATGTTTACTGTGATCAGCTTCTACAAAAATTCGGGGGAGGTCTTAGTAATTTTTGTAGAGCATCACATGTCAATGAAAAGTGAAAACAATTTATCACTGTATCCTTCATTACATAAAGTCAGACCTAACTTTGAAGTTATCTGCTTATAATTGCTAAAACAGAAACCAAAGGTTGAAAGGGAAGAAAAAGGTACACAATATTTGTACTCTGTTGACACCAGGAGTTTATCAGTCATGAGTATGAAGTGTCATAGATGCAGTGTAACTACAATTTGAAGACCTTATGGTCTGAATGGAAAAAAATATTAATAACATGCAGTTTGTCCAAATAAAAACCGTACAACTGAACTGCTGCCTCTCCTTAACCTATTTCTCCCTGGCTAACCCCTCCTGATAAATGCTCTGTTGCAATTCATAGTGGAAGAAGAGAACAGCCTGCAGGAAAAGATTACCTGCAATGGAAGAAGTGGAATTGTTAAACAGCAGACCTCACACTTTCAGGAAATGCAAGAAGACCTCACTCCTTGTAAGGTACCCCGACACCACGAACTTTCTTCTGCTGTGATAACACGACAGAGAAATCTGTCTCTAACAGTTGGTTAAATCTGAGTTCATAAATACAAACAGACATTTAAAATTGGTAAATTCTTATGTAGTGTAACTGCAAGGTAAAATCTAAGGTTGAGCTTGTTTTTTTCCAGAACTTGACATATTTGAATTTCTTGTATCTCTGGACTTTTTTGGTTTTCATTTTGGAGGTAGCTGGAGGCTCATGCTGTACCAGTAACTTGCTCATAGCTGTCCAACACTAGGTTGACCTATTTTTTTATTTGGGAATTACTGGAAGGTGTACTTAATAGCTTTACTTGTCTGTCCATCTTGAATACTAATTGTGCCCTGTAATGAGCTCTGTATGAATAGCTTGGCAGAACTTAAGCCCATGCATTTTCATTATTTCACACTGTAAAATTAATTTGCCAAATAAAGAGCATTTTTATATGGCTGCTTTGTGAGTACCGAAAACTGAGGTATAACATGTTCTCCATGCACCCTGTTTTAGTCCACAGAGTTTTAAATTATTGTTTTAAAAAAGTCTATGGAAAGAGGATTTATGGAAGCGAGGTGGCATTGGAAGGAGATACTCAATGATGCCTTCACACCCTTGCCTTGCTCTTCTACAGATGGCAAGTGAGTTGCTGTTACAAGTTAGTGTGAAAACCATCCTTGCCGTGTACCTCGAGAATGATTGATGCTATTGATGTTCTCTTTAACTTATATCCCAACCTGTTTGTGTTTTATTAACCATTCACTTGACTGTTTTTTTCGTTACTGAATTGGAAAAAACAATGCCTGGTGTAGCAAATGCCCCAAAAACGTTACTTAGGTGTAACTTTCACCTCAGTATTGTGATTGAGTGCTGCGTGCTGCATTGATACCTTATTGTATTTTAATTCTTCGAGCGTATAAAACGCTCTTTATTGAACGGGGACCGCTCACAGCCGCAGTGCTCCGTACCGGGCCTGGGGAGTGTCGGCCTCCACAACCGGTGCGGCGGGGGGTCCTGACACGGGGAGCTTCCCCTGGGACCGCTTCCTCGAGCCCGTTTGGGATTTGCCCTCCTGGGGGCAGGGCTGGGAAGCACCGGCGGTACCGAGGGGCCGGTCCCAGTACCGGGCCGCCGCCCGCCACCCGGCCGCGGCGGCAGCGCACGGGCGGGGCCGCAAGGTCGCCTGGGAGCGGTGGCTCGAAAGCCCGCCGGGCCCAAGCGGGCACTACAAGTACCGTGATGCCCCGCGCCGAAGGGGGCGGGTCCCGTGAGCTCCCGCGCGGGGCCGTACTACAGGTCCCACAGTGCCTCGCGCCGCCTGGTGGCCCCCTCTCGGGGCGGCTGGTTCCTATTTAAATCGAGGCAGGGAGGAAAATGGCGGCGAGAGGCTGAGTGTGGGGGAGACGGGGAGAAGGAGACGTAGCTGGGCTTTGGCTCCTTTCCCAGGTGAGTGGGGTTTGGAGGGAGGGAGTAACGAGTGGAGGGAGGAGAGTTCTTGCTCTGGTTCCCCCGGTTGTGGCGGCGGGGTGGGACTGGGATGGGGGGAGGGAAGGGAGCAGCTTGGGGCTGGCCCTGAGGGGCGGCTCTCTGCTCTCCCTCTCGCCCCCCTCCCCAATATGGATGTGTT